AGTTCGGAATAGGAAGCACTAGCGGACATTTAAAAATGGCGGCGCCCGGCTATATGCAAATGAAGCCCGGGAAATTCAAATCCCAGGCTTCATTTGCAACTCCGGTTGCCTACATTACCACCCTAGTTCAAACTAGGGTGGTAGTGTAGACATACCCTCAGTGAGAGTTACAGGAGTCAGAGTAGGAAGTCCTCCAGCTTGACAGTATTTTGACATTATTTCAAAATAACTCTCTGCTGTGTAGACACAGACTAAGCTATTTTGAAATAACGCTGGGTAGTTCAGAATAATGTTGCTGTGTAGACATAGCCTTAGTCTCACCAGTTCAAACAATCAACTGTTGTTGCTATCTAATTGTTACAGATACATATGCTGATGTGGATACAAATTTTGTATCTAGAACCCTGCAATTTTGCAGCTATCTGCTTTATATCTGCGAGTATTCGCATCTGCAGATATGGATGCAGATATCTGCTGCTCTTTTTTGCATGTACAGTTATGGATGCGGATATAAATGCATCCATGCAGGGTTCCATCTATCCAGCTCCTGGGGTCAAGTCACATAAATTGCTACATAAATAGCAACATCTGTAGCTAGACTGTAAGCAATTCAAGGAAGGGGGCATCTTTTTCTTATACGTTGTACAGCACCTAGCACAGAAAGGCGGGACTCACCAGGTGATACTGATAGCAGTTAAATAACAATGCCATCTGATCCTGCAAAACAGCCCAAGGGTCCATCACTGTGGAACAACATGTGCAAGAGCGATGCTGTTTTTCCATTCATGTGCTACAGCATAGAAGAGAGGATGTTTAACTCTTCAGGGTGAGGCAGTACAATGTAAAGGTTCAGGGGCAGGCGGGGGGACATTTGGAGGAGCAGCAGCATAGCCAGGAGTGCCCAGGCAGTGGCGAGTGCTTTGGAGACCAGACCAGCTCCATGAGCAGGTGTTGGCTCCAAGGGACATCACTAGCAGATGCTGGGCTCCTTCAGAGAGAGGCAGGAATGTGACAGGGGTGCAGCTTGGAGCAATGCCACCCACCCTGCCTGGGAAGCACCCTATGCAGAGGCAGCCCGATTTGGGGAGCAGAATATGGAGGGCTGCTGAGCAGCCAGGCAGTGCCCCGACTCTCACAGCACAGAGAGCCATGGGCTGGAGAGGCTCCCACCAGCTCCTGGCAGGAGGTGACAGTTATCAGACTTTCAGGGGTGTTGAAAAAACGCTATGCTAACTGGAAGACAAAAATCTGGTTGTGTGCACATGACTCCACATGTCCCCCTGCCATGTGACACCTCTGCACAATACACATAGGAATTCAGTTTCAGAGGCTGCATTTCTGAGATGTGCTGAACTTCCTGATGGAAACACAAAGAAATACATTCTGTGAGGGTCGCCTGAAGAAAGAAAGAAAGAAAGAAAGAAAGAAAGAAAGAAAGAAAGAAAGAAAGAAAGAAAGAAAGAAAGAAAGAAAGAAAGGCATTTACCTCTTCTCTCGTATATATGGGTATGTCTACACTACAAAGTTAATTCGAACTAACGCATCCAGTCTAAAAAACTAGTTCGAATTAGCGTTTTGCTAATTCGAACTAGCAGAGCGCTTAGTTCGAACTAGGTAAACCTCATTCCACGAGGACTAAGCCTAGTTTGAATTTACTAGTTCGAATTAAGGGGCTACACACCCCTTAATTCGAACTAGCAGAGCGCTTAGTTCGAACTAGGTAAACCTCATTCCACGAGGACTAAGCCTAGTTTGAATTTACTAGTTCGAATTAAGGGGCTACACACCCCTTAATTCGAACTAGCAGAGCGCTTAGTTCGAACTAGGTAAACCTCATTCCACGAGGACTAAGCCTAGTTTGAATTTACTAGTTCGAATTAAGGGGCTACACACCCCTTAATTCGAACTAGCAGAGCGCTTAGTTCGAACTAGGTAAACCTCATTCCACGAGGACTAAGCCTAGTTTGAATTTACTAGTTCGAATTAAGGGGCTACACACCCCTTAATTCGAACTAGCAGAGCGCTTAGTTCGAACTAGGTAAACCTCATTCCACGAGGACTAAGCCTAGTTTGAATTTACTAGTTCGAATTAAGGGGCTACACACCCCTTAATTCGAACTAGCAGAGCGCTTAGTTCGAACTAGGTAAACCTCATTCCACGAGGACTAAGCCTAGTTTGAATTTACTAGTTCGAATTAAGGGGCTACACACCCCTTAATTCGAACTAGCAGAGCGCTTAGTTCGAACTAGGTAAACCTCATTCCACGAGGACTAAGCCTAGTTTGAATTTACTAGTTCGAATTAAGGGGCTACACACCCCTTAATTCGAACTAGCAGAGCGCTTAGTTCGAACTAGGTAAACCTCATTCCACGAGGACTAAGCCTAGTTTGAATTTACTAGTTCGAATTAAGGGGCTACACACCCCTTAATTCGAACTAGCAGAGCGCTTAGTTCGAACTAGGTAAACCTCATTCCACGAGGACTAAGCCTAGTTTGAATTTACTAGTTCGAATTAAGGGGCTACACACCCCTTAATTCGAACTAGCAGAGCGCTTAGTTCGAACTAGGTAAACCTCATTCCACGAGGACTAAGCCTAGTTTGAATTTACTAGTTCGAATTAAGGGGCTACACACCCCTTAATTCGAACTAGCAGAGCGCTTAGTTCGAACTAGGTAAACCTCATTCCACGAGGACTAAGCCTAGTTTGAATTTACTAGTTCGAATTAAGGGGCTACACACCCCTTAATTCGAACTAGCAGAGCGCTTAGTTCGAACTAGGTAAACCTCATTCCACGAGGACTAAGCCTAGTTTGAATTTACTAGTTCGAATTAAGGGGCTACACACCCCTTAATTCGAACTAGCAGAGCGCTTAGTTCGAACTAGGTAAACCTCATTCCACGAGGACTAAGCCTAGTTTGAATTTACTAGTTCGAATTAAGGGGCTACACACCCCTTAATTCGAACTAGCAGAGCGCTTAGTTCGAACTAGGTAAACCTCATTCCACGAGGACTAAGCCTAGTTTGAATTTACTAGTTCGAATTAAGGGGCTACACACCCCTTAATTCGAACTAGCAGAGCGCTTAGTTCGAACTAGGTAAACCTCATTCCACGAGGACTAAGCCTAGTTTGAATTTACTAGTTCGAATTAAGGGGCTACACACCCCTTAATTCGAACTAGTAAATTCAAACTAGGCTTAGTCCTCGTGGAATGAGGTTTACCTAGTTCGAACTAAGCGCTCTGCTAGTTCGAATTAGCGCTGTCGTGTAGACATACCCTATGGAACTAACCTGTGTTACCTCCCTTCAAATCCTGAGGAGATTTCACTGGTCCTGTCCTGGAATTAAAAATAACCTGAGCTCAGTTTATTAGCACACATTTTCTACGCCACTATTGAGACATAGCTAAGTGCGAGTTTGAGATGAGCCAAGGGGGCTGTGTTTAGATTTGGACTGGCTGAAGTTTAGACTAGGGTTTGAGTTTTGAGTTAGCAATTGGACCATGGCTATAGATGGGGTCCAGCATTGTTCTGTCACAAGCTGTTTTTCCTGAGAGAGCCTATATCTTGCAAACACATGCCCATCTTGGGTTCTAGTATAATTTCATCCAGAATATATAATATTTTCCAGTGTATGACCACTGCATAAATCCAGAGATGGTGCATAACTGTTGATAATTGGGAGGTACAATTTAACAGGTGAGCTCAAATGTTTTGAACCCATTGCCTGAAAAAAATAATCAAAATATAAACTCTGACAGAAATCTGCTGATAGTCACCATTGCATAAATCTGTGGGGGTCATTTCCACAGCATTTTCAAAATTCAAGCATGCATTTGGAAGTGAAAGTGGCTTTGGGATTTCCCCAGACAGTCAGGGAATAGAAAATGTGTCATGGAAAGCTTCCGTGATAATTTTCAAAATTCTATAAAATTTCACTATTTCCAGGAACATTGTGGAAACAAGAAAAATATTTCACAAAGAGCCTTTTTTAAAAAATGGGGACATAGAGACTCTGCTAACTGCTCAAAGGCCTGATTCAATTCAAAATATGCAGAATCTGCACTGGAGAAAATAAAGCTAAGCAGAGAAAGATGGAGGAAAAACCCATTCCTTTTAATTTCATGACTTCTGCAGGTTTGTGAAAATGCGTTGTGTTACAGAACAAGTTCAAACTCACAGTGTAAACCAATATCTAAAAGAAATTTATTTCACTGCTTGTTTCTTAAATAGTTTTCAATGCAAGAAATGGTTTTATAATCTTGTGTCTATGATCAGAGCCCTTTGGATGGACACCAAATAAAACCATGAGCAAAGAGAATGGGGTGATGTGGAAAACTGATTTATTCGCTCATAGTCAATAAAGTAAGCATGCAGTAGCTGGTTAGTAAAGAGCTCTGCAGGGAAGATTTATAAGACTTAATACTGGGACACAGTTTTATCTCAGCTAAAAGTGCATTTTAATGGGAGGAATTGTCACGAAATTGAGGCTTTTGGTTTAGTTAAAATATTTTCCAAAAATTCTGAAAAAACAAAATCCCAGGCTTTAGGAAGGGCATATACTGTGCTTAAAACTTCCTTCTACTCAGGATTGCCATGTTTATAAATCAAAATTATGTGTCCAGAGGGGAAAAGGGAAGTAAAACTGTTTCCAAATGAAAAAATGATTCATTTCAGTTACAATGATAATTGAAAATACAGAAAGTAAAAAATGCTCCTGACTGACTGTTGTTTTTATTTGTAATATTTGCTTTGTTACAGACAATATGATCAAGGCTCTCAGAAAGGATCCATTCATAATGATGAATCTCTCTGCTATTTGGAAAATACATATTACAGGCTTTCTGCAACCTGGAGTGCACTGCTTTATCTTTACCAGAGACAAACAGTTTGAAGAAAACTTGGTACATGGAGACACCTCCCACCACTCTTGACGGGGCAGCTCCCGGGATGCCAAGCTGCTCCAGTATTTTATTTAATAAAGAAAAAGAAATGCTATCCTGATGTTAGCACATAAACAGTATTAAAGAAATACTATTGACATCTAACAAGCCATTCCTCCACACCCCATATAATGAGATTTAAATATGCTCCTGTGTCTAGTGAGGAAAAGAAAATCAATTTTGACAACTTGGTTACCCCCGTGAGCTCCTCGCAACAAATGTGCTCTAAATTCCAATGTGCTTTGACAATCACCCTCAATTTCAGTGCATTTTCCCCAGATGCTAATTCTTAAGGGTCAGATCCTCCAATGGAAGTCAAAATCAGTTTTGCCATGATTTGGTCCTATATACATGTAAAAACGATCAGACAGATGCAAAATTACAGTAAATGAGTCTATTTATCCTTGAAGTACCAGAGGCATGGAAAAATCATACATGTGTGGTATTTTTATTTCAGAATTCCTACATGTTTACAGTGTATCAGTTTGCCCTTTACAACTTAGCAATATCCCTTTTCAAGGACTTCCTAGGACATGCATGGTGCCAGCAACTGTCTAGCTATCAATCCTGTAAGTCAGGTCCAATTCTTCAGGCATGACATTCATTTCTGAAAGTAGAATATTGTTCCCAGGAGTTCCTCTGTGTTCAGAGAGCTCTCTGGCTTTTATAAGCAGGGGTGGGATGTCTGGGTTCATAGATAGCCTTATCCAGGATAGGATGTATTTGGAGCTTCATTTGTGAGGAAGAAAATATAGATGGTGGGCACATAAGAGTACATGTCTTTGGGCTGAAGGGATGGTATGAGGGTACTTACCAAATATCTCCTCATTCCGGCACTCAGCCAAATACTAAATGCAAGCGGTGTTTGGCCAGTGCTGACAGAGCAATAAATGATAGAGTTACATACTACATTTCATTTTTTATTGTGGTAATTTTGTTGGTAATGTTAGTAATAAAAGAAATATCAATGGTTAGTCAACCTTGTAATTCAACACCATGGAGAATGTTAGCCAACTTGTGTGTGTGTTTTGGAGGGTGGGGGTGATAGGATGTTGTGGTGTGACGCTGATAGGTTGCCTAAAACAAGCCTTGGTGTTTAAGCATAGCTTCACCCCACAGCCTCCAATGAGATGGAACCATGCTAACTAAGGAGCAGAAGCCATGAGATAAGGAATGTCCTCAGCTCCCAGGGACTTTATCTTGCAGGATCAGGCACTAAACTTAATCACAAAAAGAGGGAAAAAAAATCCCAGCTCTCATGACATGAATATGGATGACACTCTAACAAAAATGGATGTTTTCCATTTTTACAGTCATGCCTCTCTTTGTTGCTTCTTCCATCCTAACATAAAAGTAACCATGCCACAGAGTCTGAGAAAAAGGAGGAGGACAGAAGATCTATTGACGAAATGGGAAGGGAATAGCATGAGATTAATCTAGGGTACAGATATGTCCCCCCTTATTATAATTACAATAATAAATGCATTTATCCTTACATTTTCTCCTATTTTAAAATGGGAAATTGAGGCACAGAGACACTAAGGGTGTGTCTAGACTACATGCCTCCTTCGACGGAGGCATGTAGATTAGCCAGATCGGAAGGGGGAAATGAAGCCGCGATTAAAATAATCGCGGCTTCATTTAAATTTAAATGGCTGCCCCGATCTGCCGATCAGCTGTTTGTCGGCAGATCGGGGCAGTCTGGACGCGATGCCCCGACAAAGAAGCCTTTCTTCATCGACACAGGTAAGCCTGGTTTCACGAGGCTTACCTGTGTCGATGAAGAAAGGCTTCTTTGTCGGGGCATCGCGTCCAGACTGCCCCGATCTGCCGACAAACAGCTGATCGGCAGATCGGGGCAG